TGTGTGTGTGAGTGTGTGTGTGAGTGAGTGTGTGAGTGAGTGAGTGAGTGTGTGTGTGTGTGTGTGTGTGAGTGAGTGCGTGAGTGAGTGAGTGTGAGTGTAAGTGTGTGAGTGAGTGTGAGCATGAAGATGAAACTGAATCCTGTCTGTGTGCAGGTGGGATTTTTGAGTCGATAGAGAGCGGCCCGTCCGGACCAGAGGAGCTGGCCTTTAAATTCGCTCTAAACACCATCAACAGGAACAGAACGCTTCTGCCCAACACCACACTCACCTACGACATCCAGAGAATCAACGTGTTCGACAGCTTCGAGGCCTCCAGGAAAGGTGAGAGAGCTGCAAAACACACCAGCGTTTGACGTCCGACGCGTTTAAACCTTCATGGTTTTATGTTTTCCATGTAACCACTACTTAAGAATGTAAATATTTGTGAATAAATATCAAGACTGTAAGTATTTGTGAATGAAAACAAAAATGTAAACATTTGTAAATAAAACAAAATATAAATCTTTCTAAATACAAACGAAGAATGTAAATATTTCTAAATATAAATGAAGAATGTAAATAGTTGTAAATAAAACCAAAAATGTAAATATTTGTAAATACAAATCAACAATTTAAACATTTGTGAATTGAAATTTGTTTTATTGTAAATAAAAAAAGTAAATATTTGTAAATAAAATCTAAGAATGTAAATATAGGTGAGTGAACAGGTGTTTTCTTCTCAACTCAACTGCGTTTAAACGTTCCTGTACTTTCCTCAAAATCGCCTCTTTTTTTCTTTCCCACGCTGCCCTATTTTTCTGCGCTTTGTCATTTCAAGCCCAACGCTTCAGCTTCGGCCTCATTTGTAATTTTAATGACCCTTTTTTCTCAGGCTGCTGTCAGACGCGACGGTTACGCTGGAATGGAAAGAGAAATTGGGCTCAATTTGGAGAAATAGCATGCGAGGGGCTTCTGCTGTCAGAGAACATGCTTTTTAAACACAGACAACAGACGCACATGACTTCAGTGCATTAGTGACCTCGACTGCTGTGGAAAAGCTGCTTTTAGCAGAAATCACATGAAAGGAAGGGAGAAACGTGCCTGAAGTTATCATTCAGACAGTATGCTGGAATAATGTTGATCCAAAGCCAAACACAACTTGATGATTCTGTCGAGCTACAAAACGTACAAAAAAATAATTCTTAAAGTCAAACTGTATGATTGCTTTGTGTGAGAAACAGACTCAGATTTAAAGGACCGAAAATGTAAATAAAAACCATGAATGTACATATTTGCAAATAAAAACAAATGTGTAAATATTTGTAAACAAAAATCAAGAATGTATATTCGTGATAAAAAACAAAAAAGGTATTTTTTTTATTAAAAAACGAAAATTTAAATATTTATAAATAAAAACCAAGAATGTAAACACTGCTAAATAACCAAAATATGTAAATATTTGTAAATAAAAACAAAAATAAATATTTTAAAAATAAAAACAAAAATATAAATATTTTAAAAATAAAAACAAAGAATGTAAATATTTGTAAACAGCCAAAATACATAAATTTGTAAATAAAAATAATTTTTTAAAAATAAGTCAAGAATGCAAATGTTTGTAAACAAAAAAAATCAAGAATAAAAAAATAGTTTAAATAAAAACCTGTATATATTTTTAAATTAAAACAAATGTAACGGTTTGTAAATAAAACCAAAAATGTAAATAATTTTAAATAAAAAAACTAAAATTATACTGTAAATATTTGTAAATGGTAATCAAGAACATAAATATTTGTAAATAAATGTCAAGAGTGCAAATATTTGTGAATAAAAACCAATAATGTAAATGTTTGTAAAGGATCAAGAATGTTGATTATTACTATTTATGTTGAACTATTATCTGGCGAGCAGCGTTTGATTGGTCCCGTGTTGTTTTTCCGTCCAATCACAGCCTGCGAGCAGCTCTCGCTGGGCGTGGCCGCCATCTTCGGCCCCTCCCACAGCTCCTCAGCCAATGCGGTGCAGTCGATCTCGAACGCTCTGGGCGTGCCTCACATCCAGACGCGCTGGAAGCACCAGGTGTCTGATAACAGAGACTCGTATTACGTCAGTCTGTATCCGGACTTCTGCTCGCTCAGCCGGGCCATACTGGACCTCGTGCACTTCTTCAGGTGGAGGACGGTGACGGTGGTGTATGACGACAGCACCGGTGAGCATCAGCCAATCACAGACGCCGATGAACACTAGCGTACACACTGCGTGCTGCATACTGCGCTTTAATAATAGCGTACGCAGTATGCGGCGATAAACACTTTAAACAGTGCTAATATTCTTTATCACATAATTACACCATCTCAGAAATATTTTATTATATATTTATTACATAAAAAGCAGTTTTGTGTAAATTTGAATTACTTTTATTTTTAGAAATGCATTTGTCGCAATACAAGACCAAAAAATAAGAAAAGAAACTATACAAATTAAGAATGTAAATATTTGTATATAAATAAAAAAAATAATAAAAAAATCAAGATGCACATTTGTAAATAATTTGTAAATAAAATAAAAAATGTAAAAACAGTAACTTTGTAAATGAAAACAATTGTAAAATTTGTATAAATTAAACAAAATGCAAACATTTGAAAATAAGTAAAAAATTTAACTATTTTTTAATAAAAATTTAAATATTTTAAAACAATAATCAAGAATGTAACTATTTGTAAATAAAAAACAAATGTAAAAACGTAAACATTTAATAATAATAATCAAGAATATAAATGTGTAAATAAAAACAAAACTTAAATATTTGCATAAATAAAACTAAAAATTTAAATATTTGTAAATAAAAACAATAATGCAACTATTTGTAAATTTAAAAAACTGTAAATATCGGTATAAATAAAAACAAATGTAACTAAAAATGTAACATTGTGAATAAAAAAAGCAATGTAAACATTTGTATAAATTAAAAAAAATGAATATTTGAAAAAAGTCAAAAATGTAACTATTTGTAAATAAAAACAATAATGTAAATATTTGCATAAATAAAACAAAAAATGTAAATATCTGCAGAAATAAAACTAAAAATGTAAATAATTGTAAATAAAACAAAAATTCTAATATTTGTATAAATAAAACTAAAAATGTAAATATGTGTAAGACCATTAAAATAAACTAGTGAGGACAAAAAAAAAAGGGAATGTTTTTTTTACTGGACTTAAAATACACTTTTCTTTATACATACGTAAATTTTAACCTAAAATCATTGTGTTAAATAAATAAAAAGAAAACCGTTCACAGACATGTCCATTCGTCAACAACCCCCCAGTAGGTCATCTGGGTGTTTTATGCAGAAAGAAAATTACCATAATGTGCCGGAGTGATTAATTAGACTAGTTCATTAGACTAGTAAGAGCACAGAAACAGATCAGATGATCGTTAGATGCAGACCAAGCAGAGGAGTCAGATCAAATCTCACCGCAGCCATTTCCTCGTTAGTCTATTCTAATTAATAGAAGGGATGTTATTACCTCCTCCGAGCATTTGCCTGTAATCACACAAATTGGATCAAACCGGGAGCTGGATTCATTTGTTTTAATGAGGTATTCCAGCTCAGTATAAACACTGCATGCATTAGATGTACATTTACTGTAATATAGTCTCAGATTTATAGAAACATTTATTAATTTATTATTAATTTATGCTTAAAAGTCAGTCACTGTTGTACGTAAATTTAACAGGACCTTTTTTAGACTAAATGAATGAATCAAACACAATGACAGAAGCGCTTAAATCACTCAAATTCTTTTAAATTAGCTTTATATTTTCGGATTTAATGTTAATTTAAAACATGAATAAAAATGATAATAGCATATAAAGCACTAAAATTACTAACTATACATAAATAAAGACTAAAACTAAGCCTGATATCAATAAATACATTCTAAATAGAATTTAAAAAAATATATAGAATGTCAAAAGCAAAATGAAATAATAAAAATAAAAACTAACACATAGCAAAAAATACAAAAAATTTAATGGAAATTTTAGCATGAAAACTGAAAATATCAGATTAAAAGCGCAAAAAATTACTGACTGGAAATAAATAAATACTAAACTTGAAATAAAAATAAATTAAACCTAAATAGAAATATTTTATAACATTTAAAATGAATAAATATGACTAAAAGCACAGCAAAATTACTAACAATTTTAACTAAAAATAACATGAATTTTTTTTAAAAAGTATACAAAATAATAGCCAATTTGAAATACTGCATGCGTCTGTGACCGGTTTTGTGACATTTACCTCTTTATCTGAGAAAAGCACTGGTGTCATGTCTCTGTGGGTGTGATGTGTTGTTTTTTACTGCATCTTTTCCTAAAGTCCTCGATCTCCCCTAGAGAAGCAGAGGAGGCGGTTGCCAGGCAACCATTAGTTACCCGTTGTTAAGGTCACATGAAGCGCTGCAGCCCCTCCCTCTGAGTATCCCAGGATGCTCTGCTGCAGTGAGACGGTCCCAGCGGAGCGACACGTGCACACATGTGATCCGATCACTTTAGACCTGCTCAAGACACTCGCCGAGACACTGATGTTAAATGTGTGTGTGTGTGCGTGTGAGAGTGAGTGAGAGCGTGCGTGTGTGTGTGCATTTGTGTGTGCTTGTGTTTGTGTGTGCGCATGTGTGTGTGCGTTTGTGTGTGCGCGTGTGAGAGTGAGTGAGTTGAGTGAGTTTGTGTGTGTGTGCGTTTGTGTGCATGTGCATGTGTGCGAGTGAGTGAGTGTGTGTGCGCATGTTTGTGTGTGTGCGTTTGTGTGCATGTGCATGTGTGCGTGTGAGAGTGAGTGAGTGTGTGTGCGCATGTGTGTGTGCGTTTGTGTGTGCGCGTGTGAGAGTGACTGAGTTGAGTGAGTTTGTGTGTGTGTGCGTTTGTGTGCATGTGCGTGTTTGTGTGCGTGTGAGAGTGAGCCGATTTATACTTCTGCGTCGGACCTACGCTGTAGCTTACGCATAGACGCACACCCATACGCCGTAGCCTGACGTGCACCTCTCCAAAAATCTAACAGCGCGTCAATTCTAGCAGACCACAAGCGCTGTGATTGGTCTGCAAGAACCCCTCCCTCCATATGTACTTGAGTTTTGTGTGTGTTTATATGCACTTTAATATATTTTAATGTTACACCTTCTTATATAAAATAAAACAAAGCAAAGAACAAGTGTCTTATCATTTATTATACTACA